CGATTTTATACATACACACATATGTCCTTAACAATGTTGATCATGATCATAACCATGTAGTGTACTCAAACAGGGAAACTTGTTACATTTTTAGACAGTTCTGTTCATTAAATATGTCTGAAGGCTGAGTTCTTGTCAAAAGAGTTTCAGAGTTGTGTTCCATAAAAAAGTGGGATTTTAGGGAGTTCTAATATATGTTTTGTTCATAATCATACAGTATTTAATACTGGTTACACTACATTTTTCTTTGATTACATCATAAAAATTGTGATGAATGTTCTGTTTTCAAATGCTTAATTGTCAGTACAATATGTTGACTTCATTAGATATATAGGCATGTACAGAGGCGGATTGTGACGCAAGCTTATTTTGATTGGCTACGTTCATTTTAAAATAAGAGTAAAAACTCGATGAGAATTTTTTTCCTACGAAAACTATTTCACCATTTTTCTTGGCCTAAATCCCTGAATTTGCAATAAATTAGAAAATAAATCTCAAAGAATGTGCAATGACATCAAATCGGGCCTTTCCATCAGGACATTTTTATAGGAAAAATATACTATTAAAAAAATAAGCATTCAAAAAATTATATTTTTAACCTCAGAGATTCTCCTAAAATGTCCAAATGAAGTGTCAAACAGCAAATTGTGATTGGACAATATTGCACTAGACAATAACACTATTCTAGATGTTTATCATTTTGTTTATTGTTCATATTAGGAGAAACAGTTACGTCAAGATGAATGAGTGTTGATCTGTACAGCAAAGTCATCTTAAAGAGTAGTTAATAAGTATTAGGAGTGACAGAAGTAACATTAATAATAATATTGAGAACCGTGTTATTTTCCAAAGACATATATGAATACCACAAGGATTATACATGGAGGATCAGCCAATCACTTTGGCTGCTTGCTGGACACAGATGGCATCATGTAGGTCAGTGATTGGATGGTTTAGCAATATGTTAACATCCCATACTCTGATCTCTAATGTTGCCTTTACTACATTTAAAAAAAATCATATTTCAGCTGGACCAGAAAGACAATCCTTACCTTTTTGAATGAACATGTCATCTCTATATATACACACACACAGAGTAACTCCCAATGGATAATGATGATAATAATTGCATAAAAAACAAAGTTAATATAACTGGTATTAAAGGTTTTTAAAAAACACTACTAAATAGTACCTGGTAACCAAATTGTCGTCTTTAAATTTTTTTCCCCTCCCTTCCTTTCTGAAAAAAAAGACTTTGTGGAGAGGGTCAAGAAAATATAAAATGACTAAACTATTCAGGTTAAAAAAAAAAAAAAAGAATTTTATAGATGTTTTCACACATTCATCTCCTCCTTTAAATGTTCTTTTACATGCTCTTTCAACCAACCCGTCGCACACTCAAACACATACATACACAAGGACAATAGAAAAATACATATGATAAATGGCTAAAATGTAATGACAAATCAGAAACGATGAATAAAAAAGTTCATTTAAGTGCCATCTCCCATAAACCATTAGCTTCTGTTTATCCTTCCCCCCATTCTTTAGTGCAGTCTTAGCCACCTCTTTCCAACAGGACTCGGCTGGTAGTGACAAAGCAGTTGCACAATTCCTTGAAATGTCAATCAGCAGGCCTGCAAAGCAGTGTCATAAAAGGCATTAAAACTTCTTAAGAGCGTACAAAGTCAGATTTGGAAGAACATAAGTAATTTAACTTCATTTGGGTAAACTATTGCTTTAAGCCTGCTCAAAAGCTGCAGATATGTGCATCTTTCTGTGAAATACTTTGTGATGTAACCAAGTTGCAGTTCTGTAAAATTCATTTATGAGATATGTTGGTGGTATTTGTCCATATTTTCTCGTTTACCAGCATTTGTAACATTTACAACTTAGAGAAAATAGTAAACTTGCTGGTTTTCAAAGCTTGATATAAGCATGAGCTAGTCTTTGTTAGCTGGCATTGGTAACCTCAATCACCCATTTATAAGGCTAGTGTCCATTTTTAGTCAATCTTGCACAATCCCTGCAACAAAATTAACCTTTGTTTTCGTTTCATCTGTTCCTCTTAGTAGTGCTGAAGAAATGTGCCATGTAGAGAAAAAAATGTCACTAATGTAAAATCACTTGCTCAATTATCCCGTCTCCTGATAAAAGTCTGAAATGGAATCATTTAAAAATATCATGTGCAAAAACTGAGGGTGATGTATTTATGGGCAAGTTAAGTAGTCGATTATGACATTGTCAGAAATTCTGAGGGAGGTTCACAGATCGCCATTTCAGACTGCCAAATTTAAAATGTACAGTTTTTTAAACCATGGTTTTTGCCCACTTTTTCAATGGTCTTGGCTGAAAGGATTTTTCCCATTTATTTATTCCATGGAGATTTTAACAAGTCTTTGTTGAAGAGTTATAAGCCATGAAGCAAACCAACCAGCTACATGGTGAATCGTGGCACTAGAAAATTTGATTTGAAGCAAAAAAGTATTTAAAAATGGGACAAAAGTACTAAACTGCATACTTGACAGCTTATGCCGTTTGGTGATTTGCACAGATTGGTGGAGATTTCTTTGCAGAATCATGGGTAATGTAGTTTTTCCCGAAGGAAGTATGACATTATATTAACATTCTTCAAAATATCTTCTTTGGTGTTTAACATACAGGTTTGGAACAACTTGAGGGAGAATAAATTATGACAAAAGTTTCATTTTTGGGTGAACTGTCCCTTTAACAGCCTTGTTGTCACGAATTCGGTTCATGGACTTCCGTTTATTCACCACCAGATGTCACACTTTCCATTACATTGACTCTCGCACTACACAAACTGTTGCATAGCACCCCGGACTACATTTCCCATCATTCTTTGCACAATTTGCACACTGCCCTGATTGCACTCATTACACACAGCTGTTTCTAATTACCTCATTCACTATATAACACCCACTCTAACCACCTTTCTCTGCTGAGTATTGTTTAGCCTGTACCCCTTTCCGAGTCTCTGTGTTTTCCTTGTTTTGCCTTGCCTGTTTTTGCGGTTTTTGATCTTTGCCTGTTTTCCTGTTTTTTCCCCTCTCGTCTCGCCCCTGTGATTCTGTCTGCCGATCGGTGACCTACGCTAGCCCTAGGACTACTCTTGTGTTTTGCCCGCCATATACCTGTTTGCCATTGTTTGACCCTGCCTGTTTACCACGTCTCTCTATTAAAAGCTTGCAGATGGATCCACACGTCTCACGCCTCATCAGCCCCGTTACACTTGTAGCTCACAGTTGGTCTGTCTTCAATGGTTTGTATTTACTAAAAATCAATTCCCCAATGGAGAAAATGAATGGTATGTTTACTTCCGTAACCCGACTGCTGCAATCCATAGTGGCCAAAGGGACAGAATTGGGGCTGGGTATTGTATATTTCAATAGCTGCTAACTGAGAATAGCCACCATGACAGTTTAAGGCCTTTTTTGTGACACTGCAGAGCAAGTCTAAAGAAAGACAACAACTCATAAGAGTTGATGTGCTCCTCCATCTCTCCTTTTCTCCTCAATTTGCAAACCTGCTCTCCCCTCCTGCCAGTCTGTATTTGCAAAACCTCCTCTGTCCCAAGGCAGTGTTTTATTTCCTATCCAATTCATGGTCCGTTTCTCCTCACCCCACCTCCTCACTCTCATTCTCCTCAAGTTTCTCTATGAGTTCATGTGCTCCACCTGGATGGCAGAGGTGGAGACGGTGAGGCAGAGGTCTTTGTGGGCCGTCAGGTCGGCCACGGTGACTGGTTTGTACTGGATCTCTCCAGCCGACACGGTCTTGTACTGATGCAGGTCGAAAGGGCAGGGTATTCCCTCTGTAACAGAGTAACTGGTTGGCGAGGTGGGGTTGGGTTGGTTCTGCGCTTGGGCCGCCGTTCCCGCTCCGGCCCCCCTGCCTCGCCCGCGACCCCTGCCGCTTCCCACGCCCAAGGGCTGAGCCGGATTCTGGCCCTGCTGGGCTTGCTGGGCAGCTACTGCGGCTGCTACCGTCAGAGGGTCTGGGTTGTGTTTTCGCATGTGTTTCATCAGGTACGTCTCCTAAAAAATAACAAAAACAGAAAAATGTGTCAACATTAAGTAGGGCTGCATGATGTATAATTTTTCAATCATGATTTCTCTCGATTTATTAGGCAAAATCACCTGCAATATTTGCCCACTGATTATTTATCCTGAAGGCACTGCATTTTAATTTGGCATTTGCGTTATCTTAAACTGGTAACAAGCAAGCGGCAACCTTCCGGGCTCTCTCGTGAAACCAACACGGAAGTGACTAAAACTGCAATTCATCGACTGGCCGCTAGAGGCTGGCTCCAAGAGGGAGTCAGTCCCATAGACTCCCCATGTTAAAATGCCCAACTTTACAGCAGAAAAAAATTGTTTACAGCCTGGTACAAAATGTGCTTTTGGTCTATATAGCTAATTTTGCCCTTCATGACAACTGTGAGGGGGGGTAAATTTTTTTTTCTCATGAGTTTAAATTATATTAAGCCTTAAAGTTCTGCATAAATAAGGGCGTGGCCACTTGAGTGACAGGTGGATTGCCGCTGCTGTCACCACCGTCGAGCTAGGTGGGCGTGATACACAAACTGTTGCATAGCACCCCGGACTACATTTCCCATCATTCTTTGCACAATTTGCACACTGCCCTGATTGCACTCATTACACACAGCTGTTTCTAATTACCTCATTCACTATATAACACCCACTCTAACCACCTTTCTCTGCTGAGTATTGTTTAGCCTGTACCCCTTTCCGAGTCTCTGTGTTTTCCTTGTTTTGCCTTGCCTGTTTTTGCGGTTTTTGATCTTTGCCTGTTTTCCTGTTTTTTCCCCTCTCGTCTCGCCCCTGTGATTCTGTCTGCCGATCGGTGACCTACGCTAGCCCTAGGACTACTCTTGTGTTTTGCCCGCCATATACCTGTTTGCCATTGTTTGACCCTGCCTGTTTACCACGTCTCTCTATTAAAAGCTTGCAGATGGATCCACACGTCTCACGCCTCATCAGCCCCGTTACACTTGTAGCTCACAGTTGGTCTGTCTTCAATGGTTTGTATTTACTAAAAATCAATTCCCCAATGGAGAAAATGAATGGTATGTTTACTTCCGTAACCCGACTGCTGCAATCCATAGTGGCCAAAGGGACAGAATTGGGGCTGGGTATTGTATATTTCAATAGCTGCTAACTGAGAATAGCCACCATGACAGTTTAAGGCCTTTTTTGTGACACTGCAGAGCAAGTCTAAAGAAAGACAACAACTCATAAGAGTTGATGTGCTCCTCCATCTCTCCTTTTCTCCTCAATTTGCAAACCTGCTCTCCCCTCCTGCCAGTCTGTATTTGCAAAACCTCCTCTGTCCCAAGGCAGTGTTTTATTTCCTATCCAATTCATGGTCCGTTTCTCCTCACCCCACCTCCTCACTCTCATTCTCCTCAAGTTTCTCTATGAGTTCATGTGCTCCACCTGGATGGCAGAGGTGGAGACGGTGAGGCAGAGGTCTTTGTGGGCCGTCAGGTCGGCCACGGTGACTGGTTTGTACTGGATCTCTCCAGCCGACACGGTCTTGTACTGATGCAGGTCGAAAGGGCAGGGTATTCCCTCTGTAACAGAGTAACTGGTTGGCGAGGTGGGGTTGGGTTGGTTCTGCGCTTGGGCCGCCGTTCCCGCTCCGGCCCCCCTGCCTCGCCCGCGACCCCTGCCGCTTCCCACGCCCAAGGGCTGAGCCGGATTCTGGCCCTGCTGGGCTTGCTGGGCAGCTACTGCGGCTGCTACCGTCAGAGGGTCTGGGTTGTGTTTTCGCATGTGTTTCATCAGGTACGTCTCCTAAAAAATAACAAAAACAGAAAAATGTGTCAACATTAAGTAGGGCTGCATGATGTATAATTTTTCAATCATGATTTCTCTCGATTTATTAGGCAAAATCACCTGCAATATTTGCCCACTGATTATTTATCCTGAAGGCACTGCATTTTAATTTGGCATTTGCGTTATCTTAAACTGGTAACAAGCAAGCGGCAACCTTCCGGGCTCTCTCGTGAAACCAACACGGAAGTGACTAAAACTGCAATTCATCGACTGGCCGCTAGAGGCTGGCTCCAAGAGGGAGTCAGTCCCATAGACTCCCCATGTTAAAATGCCCAACTTTACAGCAGAAAAAAATTGTTTACAGCCTGGTACAAAATGTGCTTTTGGTCTATATAGCTAATTTTGCCCTTCATGACAACTGTGAGGGGGGGTAAATTTTTTTTTCTCATGAGTTTAAATTATATTAAGCCTTAAAGTTCTGCATAAATAAGGGCGTGGCCACTTGAGTGACAGGTGGATTGCCGCTGCTGTCACCACCGTCGAGCTAGGTGGGCGTGATTTCAGCAACCAGCTCCCGCCTCTTTGCCCATTTTCGATTATCCGGGAGTGACGCGTGGTGACGCGCTGCCAAGATGGTGATGGCCGGCTCCGCCAACTTTGAGCTTCAAAAACGCTCTTCAAAAACCTACGGGTGACGTCACGGACACTACGTCCATGTTTTATACAGTCTATGGTAACAAGCCACCACAAGCTGGTTGTGGTTGCCAGATTTCAAAAGTTCAATCAGATTTCAATCAGAGCTGCTTTCTTGCAACATTCTGAAATGCTTAACGTCCTTAAAAACCACCAGCGAAATCCAAAATTCTCTCACATTTCTCTGGTCATAAATGCTACGACATTGGCACCATAATCCAAGTGGAAGGACAATTTTATGTTAAAGGGGACATAACACACACAGTTTCTGTTCATCTTGAGTACCTAGAGCAGGGGTTCTCAACTCTGGCCCTCGAGGTCCACTTCCCTGCAGAGTTTAGCTCCAACCTTAATCAAACTCACCTGAACAAGCTAATCAAGGTATTCAGGATTACTACAAAGTTACTGGCAGGTTTGTTTGATTAGGATTGGAGCTAAACTGTGCAGGACAGTGGACCTCGAGGGCCAGAGTTGAGAACCCCTGACCTAGAGAGTACTACTGCATATCCAACATATCTACGAAGAGTCTTTAGTTTTATCAGATTTATAAAAGATAGAGTTGTACCACTTCAAGAGTTGTACCACTCCACAAGATCCTGGAGGCGTGCTGTGGGTGAAGCTAAAGAGTCACGAGCACGCAAAGCTTTTGCCTAGCGATCGTCTGCAAGCTGTGATATCGACATAAATAATTCCCTTAAAGGGGTCATATGATCCGTTTTCAAGTTTTCCCTTCTCTTTGGAGTGTTACAAGCTGATTGTGCATAGATAAGATCCCTGAAGTAGCAAAGACTAAAGTCTCAAAACCAAAGAGATATTCTTTATCAAAGTTAAGACTCTGCCATGCCCCCCTAAAACGGCTCGTTCTAACACGCCCCCACATATCTACCTCACTATGTGGAAATATTTGCATAATGCCGCCCAAATGTGCACGCAAAGAAAGAAGGCGTGGTTTCAGTAACTGCAGTTAGTGTTGAAGCAGCATGTCAGGGAGACGCTGTGTGTTTCTAGGCGAAAGCAAAAGCACTTTATTTGGCCTTCCGGAAGTAGATGCATTTAGGAATCTTTAAGATCACTTACAACAGAACAGCAATGCATTTTATGGACGACCGTTTCGTGAACCTAGGAGAGGAGGTAATTCTGACTTTGCTATGACAATCTGGCGCTTCTGAATCAGCTACTGTTTTGTTATTAGTTTAAGTATTTGCTATTGACTGTTCAAATGCGGAGTTTTGCGCATCGTGTGTGTGTGTGTGTGAGAGAGAGCGAGAGAGACCAGCTTCATCACTGAGTCTGTCACGTGACTGTTCCCCTTTCGGGCTTGAACTGATGGTAAAACTAATGACTTTATTTACTGTCTTTACATTTATTTTGAAAGATGAAGCTCACGATTATGGAAAGGGGCGTTACATTTCCGACGAGTGCTTGCGGTGTTCGGCCAATCACAATGCACTGGGTCAGCTGGCCAATCAGAGCAGACTGCGCTTGTCGGAAGGAGAGACTTTGTAGAAAACGAAGTGTTTGAGAGAGGCGGGGCATAGAGGACCTACAATAATGTACAGTATTTGAAAAAGAATGTGTTTTTTGAACATTAAAGCATGTCAACATATTCTGTTACACCAAATACACCAAATAATGATCTTTAAAAAAGCATCATATGATCCCTTTAATGCTGGGTTCTTTGGAGAGCTGAACAAGGTTATCTATCACTCACAACCGAAAATGCACTTCTTTGGTGACATTGTTGATTTTGCGATCTAGAAATAAAATGACAAATCCTTCTTGAGAAAGTGCTGCTGACGACTTCCGTAACACGAATGAAGCACATTGTTAAACTGCATGTGAAGAGTTTTCTTCTTGTAGAAAACCATTATAAAGCAGACTGCGCTTGTCGGAAGGAGAGACTTTGTAGAAAACGAAGTGTTTGAGAGAGGCGGGGCATAGAGGACCTACAATAATGTACAGTATTTGAAAAATAATGTGTTTTTTGAACATTAAAGCATGTCAACATATTCTGTTACACCAAATACACAAAATAATGATCTTTAATAAAGCATCATATGATCCCTTTAATGCTGGGTTCTTTGGAGAGCTGAACAAGGTTATCTATCACTCACAACCGAAAATGCACTTCTTTGGTGACATTGTTGATTTTGCGATCTAGAAATAAAATGACAAATCCTTCTTGAGAAAGTGCTGCTGACGACTTCCGTAACACGAATGAAGCACATTGTTAAACTGCATGTGAAGAGAAAATGCATTTGCGCTCTCCCTACATTACAGAAAAAACTCTGATGAGCTAAAAACACCAGCAAACATGTAAGTTAGTTTAATAATCACTGCTGAGATATTCTGCTCAAATGAAAGTGTAATACAGCCAGTCTTGACTCGTGCTTATGTCGAAGTGCAATAATTCTGATGAATGACCAAAAAAAAGACAAATATAATCATGATTGAGAATTGTCCAAAATAATTGCGATTAAGTATTATCAAATAGCCCTAACACCGTAATATCTAAAACTTTCGACATCTCTAACAAACTCATATCTATAATTTTAGCTTAATAAAATGAAGATTGACAAGATGGAGGACCAAGGATTGAGGTATCATGGGTGGGATCTTACAGATGTGTAGGCGCGGTTGCAGAGGCCACAGGAGAAGAGTTTGGCGTGTTTCACCGTATGTGTAGACAAGTGAACCTCTAAGCTGGTCGCATCTGTGTAGCCGCGGTTGCAATTGTGACATTTGTATGGCTTGTCCTTGTTGTGCTGTCTTCGATGAGACTGAAAAAAACAAGTAAATGTCATGACAGCAGCCTTGATGTTAATGTTAACATGAAATTGACAAGCAGATTTTTCGAGACAGTTACAGCGACATGTTGCTAAGTAGCTAACAAGCTAAAATATTTATAATGGTCTGAATTAATAAACAACACTTACAAAAGAATATATGGCAATGATTTATGCAATTACAACTTAAGTGTCAGTTATGGATGGGAATCTGAAGAATGTAATGCAAATGTAATGCATTTAAGTGCCCTAAGATAATTTCAGATTTTAACAGACATTTGAAAAAAAATCTAATTTTTGCACAATGCATGTTTACAGACCTTTTAATGACAAAAATGCACGCTAATATTTGGTCACTACTACCATTCAAAAGTTAAAGGCCAGTATGTTTTTTTATTTAAAAGAAATTAAGCAAGGTTGCATTGAATTGATCAAAAGTGACAGTAAATACATTTAAAATGTTTCAAAAGTTCTCCATTTCTAATAAATGCTTTGTTTCATAGAAATGAACTTTCTATTGATAAAATAATCAGTTTCTATAAAAATATGAAGCAGCACAACTGTTTTTATCATTAATAATAAGAAGACATTTTTCTTGAGCAGCAAATCAGCATATTAGAATGATTTCTGAAGGATCATGTGACACTGAAGACTGGCGTAATGATGCTGAAAATTCAGCGTTGATCACAGAAATAAATTACATTTTAACATATACAAAAAAAACCTGTTATTTTAAATTTTGATCAAATAAACGCAGTCTTAATGACGATAAGAGACTTCTTTCAAAAACATTAACAAATCTTACCGACCCCAAAGAGTAGTGTATATATGAAATAAAAATACTAAATATAATAACTTGTACAATTTTTATTAATTCATTTGAATAAAATGCCACTTAAAAATATTTTAAAAAATATTACACTATCATACAAACAACCAGTTAGTACACTAATTTAAAGTCTCACAAGCCACACAATATTTAATTTACAGTTCAGTAAATCAGTCCAATAAACTCAGTGACCACTTTGACCAATTCATACGGTTTTTTTTTATTCACTAAAAAGAACCAAAGAGTTATTAATTTCCAAAATAGTGAACTAGACTTCCATCTGCATATGAAATTCTTGAATAGTAACAGAAGAAAGTTTGCATATTTTAGTACAGTGTTCAGTCCGCAATGGAACCAAAGGTCATGTAAAATCATTCGGTTACAGCATTTTACTACCACAGGGTTTCAATCACTTATGTAGAAAGCTGAAATGTGTGGAAGCATCCATTAATCAGCTGAAGATGGTTACCTGGAGGTTGGATAGTTGGGTAAATGTTTTCTCACAGCCGGGATGGGAACACTTGTATGGCCGATCGCCAGTATGAATCCTTCAAAACAAAACAGAAGCTTTTCTTTAGAAAGTTTGAAGTAAAGATCACATGAATGCATTCTGCAGTGCTAAAATATGTTTCCAGGAAGCCTACAAAATCATCTCAACTACAGCATGACAGACAACAGAGGAGGAAGGAATAAGGGAAAAGGAGAAGCCAGGAGAAGAGCAGGACGGCTGCTGTATACGGTTGGTTACTGATTCTATCTGTCCCTGTCTGTTACCTGTTATGCTGCTGTAAGTGACTGAGCTGCCTGAAGGTTTTCTGGCAGTAGGAGCAGGTGTAGGGTTTGGCGCCGCTGTGGATGCGGATGTGCTGGGACAGGTAGCTGGAGTTGGCAAACGATTTGGAGCAGTGAGGACACTTGTGCGGTTTGCCCTCTGTGTGGTTTCTAACAAGGGATGAAGGGAAGGGGATGAAAAGAGAGAAACAAACAGAGAGAGATTTACCAGTGAATCAATAAACGAGCCCTACTTGGATCAAATCGTGATCGTATCATCAAACATGTCGCAGGTTACATGCTTTTAGCAATGTGACGGTGCTCATTGTGGTGTCTGAGTTATGAAACGCAGCACACAGAAACACAAGGCACTTTATCTTACCCTCTCTCTCTCTCATTCTCTCTCTCACCAGCTTCCTTTCCCCTCCCTAACTATCGGGTAATATGAAACGAGCCAGAGCCTTTAGACCAGAGCAGACGAAACAGACGTGAAGAAGATAAGCAGAGTAAGATGGAATTCAATTAAAGACTCTTTCTTGTCCAACAGCATAGAAATGACATGGAAAGAAGACATGACACAAGCCAGATAACGTAGAGAAGAAACACAGATAATACAGAAGCAAATGGAGACAAAATTACATGCTTTTAAGCCTTCCAGCCTGCTAGGCTTCAATTAAAGTGTATTTATGGTTAATATAGTTGCTATTAGTTTTTACAAACTAAGGGATGATTTAAAATTATTGTCTGTGATAATTAATATCATCAAAGAAATAGTTCATAAACTGTAGTTAAAAATATCCCAGAATATTACATGACATTGCATCAAATAGCTAAACAACAGGGCTGCTTATTGACACATTGATTTTCCTTTTTTATTTTTAATTCAGCTATTATTTTGTCTTGCGGATTATACATACACTTAGTCAGGACAGTATTAAATAAACATGCATCCGCACTGTCAAATGTGCATTTCTAAGGGACCAATTTTTTTTAATATTAATATTGCAGCCTGCCCTGCAAAATGTATTACTTATTAGAACATCAAGAAACTTTTTTTATCAAGAAACTATTTTAAGAAAAAATGACAGGAAAAGTGTAAAGAATTCAAAAATGTGAAGTATCTGTCATATTCTGATCATAAAGAGTAGTTTAAAACTACAATTAACAGTCTGGTTTCTACAACTTTCACTTAGGAGCAAAAATCTGCCTTTAAACCAAAAGAAATAAAGATTTGAAGGTTATTGTGATAATTATCGATATCGACTGATATGAACAATTTTATCCTGACAGTTTTTTTGACCATATCGCCCAGTCCTATGCAAAATTATTGTAAAATTGTATACTCCTGAAAACTCCCATAAAAGAGTATAGAAAAGCTTTGAATGTGTCTATAAACATACATATCATATAACCATATTTATATGTATAAATCAAAAGATTTAATATACAAGCGTTCAATCAAAATACTGAGCAACACAATATTTTAAAATAATTTTTTTTATCTATTTAAAATCAACAGAGCTGCCTACACTGACCACATATGCATAGAGTAAAAGATCGATCTTGAATAAAATGAAGATTGATTAATTGGAAAAACAATATTTTACCCAGTCCACACAAGAAAGCAGATTTAGAACATTAAATAAAAAAGCTTTGCAAGAATACAGCGCCACAAAAATGTCAACAGGACATAAAGGACTCCAAAAGAAGTAAATGAAACAAAAGTTGGTGTGAAATAAGACAAGCAGATGCGTGATGTGATTAGCATGAGACAAAAACACCTGCTTCTATATGCAGAGAGTATATTATCTCGTTTTTCACTAGAAGTGTGTGCAAGCTCAAATGTCACCGCACCAGGGTGGGAAAGGACATGAAGGTATCAAGAGAAAGAGAGAACGGAAAAAGTAAAAGATAAACGCTTATCCTAATCGAAAACACGACTACTCAACTACTCAAAGCCCTGGCTCCATCCTGTAGCAGGTGCAGCAGTGCATCCTTTAGTAAGTAGAATACAGCGCCACAAAAATGTCAACAGGACATAAAGGACTCCAAAAGAAGTAAATGAAACAAAAGTTGGTGTGAAATAAGACAAGCAGATGCGTGATGTGATTAGCATGAGACAAAAACACCTGCTTCTATATGCAGAGAGTATATTATCTCGTTTTTCACTAGAAGTGTGTGCAAGCTCAAATGTCACCACACCAGGGTGGGAAAGGACATGAAGGTATCAAGAGAAAGAGAGAACGGAAAAAGTAAAAGATAAACGCTTATCCTAATCGAAAACACGACTACTCAACTACTCAAAGCGCTGGCTCCATCCTGTAGCAGGTGCAGCAGTGCATCCTTTAGTAAGTCACACACACACACAATGCGTACCGTGTATGCTGCTGCAGGTGGCTGAGCTGCCTGAAGGTTTTCTGGCAGTAGGAGCAGGTGTAGGGTTTGGCGCCACTGTGGATGCGGATGTGCTGGGACAGGTAGCTGGAGTTGGCGAAGGATTTGGAGCAGTGAGGACACTTGTGCGGCTTCGCCTCCGTGTGCGACTTGGCATGAATCTGCATGTCTGATTTGTTGAAGAACGTCACCGCACACATCCGGCACCTACAGGGAAAAATAAGCATGTGCATTTGCATTCGAAATACTCACAAAATTATCATTTTAAAAACACTACAACAGCCTTGACACTTTTGAAATCTTAAAACTGAAAATGTATCACAATGTATCACATGAATGCCTTTTGTATTCCATTTTTTTTTATTGGTTTATTTAATAGGGACCATGCATATTCATGAACATTGTTGTATAAATATACACCATGTAAATAAGCCAGAATTAGTAACAATAACTATTTAATAGGGACCATGCATATTCATGAACATTGTTGTATAAATATACACCATGTAAATATGCCAGAATTAGTAACAATAACTACTTTTCATCTGCAGTCCCTAGGCAGGTAACATAAAACTAACATAAAGACAGCCAACAATAATACAACATTAATTCACTATAAATGAAAAAATACACATAATTGTGACATATACATTAACAACAAAACAAAACAGAAATAGATGATGGAGAAGACATTGTTCATCCACATCTATACTACATTCAATTTAACAGTGAAAGTGTATGGGTGATAAATGTGTGACAATTAAAAATGAATACATCTCTGGTTTTCTAGAAGCCACTGTTTTAAGTGAGTTTTAAAGGTGTTGAATGTAGGACACTCTCTTATTGGGAGGGGCAAACTATTCCAGAGTTTACACCTATTATTGACAATACGTTTTGTCCAAAAGTGGTACGCATGAATGGTATCACACAGTCCCCATTTACAGAGGCCCGTGTGCTACCTCCGCTTTCAAGTCTTTGGAAAAAGCCATGCAGCGGAAGGGGGGCAAGATTATGTAACACTTTATATACCAAACAAGCACACTTGAGACGTTTT